GGCCCCTTGGCAAGTTGTACGGGGCCGTCCCGAGCGAGCTCTGCCCAGGACAGAGCGCGCGGGATGGCGAAGACTATGCCGTTCTAGTGGCGTCTCGGCACGTGGCCGGTAGGTACACAATGCATGTTGACTGTCAGGGCACGGTGTCTTGTGGGCAGAATTTAGCTTGCGCGCAGGGCCCTTCCGAGGCTCGCGCGCACCTGTGGCAGCAGGCCGCTGGTGGCGGCGCCCTCGATGATGTTTCTTTTTGTAAGGTTAAGGCTCACTCGACGTGGGACGACGTCGTCGAGGGCCGCATCACGGCATGGCAGAGGGACGGCAACCACGCCGCCGATCAGGTAGCTAAGAGAGGAGCGTCGCTGGGCCGCCTTCGGGAGGAAAACAGAAACCTCCTGCGAGGGTGCCTAGAAATTGCTCGGCGCCTCACGCGGTTCACAGGTAGGCTGGAGGCCGTGCTCTCTGCCTCGGGGGTTCGAGACCATCAGGGGCTCGAGGCCGCACGCACGGTTGTCGTGGAAGCGATCTGGCTTGTGTCGGGGAGTGACGGTGTGGGGGACGGCGGGGACACTCATGACCGGCCTGCTGTGCCTCCAGGGGACCTCGACGAGGCTGGCGGCCCGTCTCGAGGACCATGGCGGGTGCACGGCCACTCCCTTTTAGCAGCGCCGGTGTTCGAATGGGAGCAACCGGCGCAGGGCCCAAAGGGAGCGAGCTCGCATGTTCTGATTTGTACGCGTTGCTTTGGGCACGCCACGTGCCCAGGAGTCGGCCGTGGTCTCAAGGCAGAGTGCTCGCACACGGGAGGTCGCACCCCCCGGGCGCAGAGCATACGCAGCAGGGCCGAGAGAGGCGTTCATCCCCACCACGCGTGGCGCGCCCGCATAGGCGAATTGGCTGGGCCATCAGCGGGGCTGCGCGCGCAGTGGAGGGAGCATTTCTCTGGGCCCGACGCGGCGCAGGCAACGAGGGAGCCTGACGCGCGCCGCGCGGCCCTAGACCAACCGATGCGGTGGGGCAGTGAATACCCCCGAATGGCCATAAGCGATGCCTTGTGGGCCTTCGGTTTTCGTTCGCGCGCTAGGGCGGAAGAGCTCGGACGCGAGGCGTACGCCCTCGATGCTGCCCGGGCCAGCGCCAACGCTTTCGGGGGCAAGCGTTTTGAATCTGAGGCACCCTCTGGGGCGTGAGGCCGGCCTCGGATGCGCGCCGGCGGCGTGGGCACTGTGTGGGCCCACCTCCACCGCTGCGGGCACCTCCCTCGGGTGTTCGTTGTGGGGGTGGGGCGGGACGTCCTTCTCCTTTTCCCTCCCTCGGGAGTCGTCTACCTCCTCCTCCTCCCTCCTCCTCCTCCTCCTCCTCCTCCTCCTCCTCCTCCTCCTCCTCCTCCTACTCCTCCTCGGGTCGCCTACGGCCCAGGGGGAAACCGTGCAGTTCGGGGGTGTAACTGTTGATAGGGCCATTCTCAGAGCCCCGAGTCATCAGGGGTAACTCGGGTCAGGGCTAACTCGGGTTCGTTTGTCGGGGCTGAGAGCCGAGTTGCCCCGGATAACTCGGGCGTCCAGAGCCCCGAATCATCAGGGGTAGCTCGGGTCAGGGCTAACTCGGGTTCGTTTTTGAGGAATCCAAGCCCGAGCTGCCCCGGGCCCGAGTTATCCCAGACAACTCGGGCGTCCAACATGTGCCACCACCACTACCATAGGAGGGAGAGGGAGGAAGCGGAGGAGGAGGAGGAGGAGGAGGAGGAGAAGGAGGAGGAGGAGGACCTCCTAATCCTCCCTTCTCCCCCGTCCTGCATGGTAGCGGTGGTGGAACATCTGCCCGTCAATCTTTCGCTGTCAGTGGGCGGGACCCTTAGGGCGGCGAAATTAACATCATCGAAGAAGAAAAGACTCCGTGAGCATAAACTTTTGGCGCTCCGCGCTGGATTTCTTGGATTCGCGCTGGGACCCCCTGGCGGCGCCTCCGGCGCCGCCCCTGGCGAGCTCCGCGCTTCAGGGAGGGGCTTCAGCGCGGATCCGAAAAATCCGCGCGCAGCGCCAGCATTTTATGCTGTTTATCTTTCTCTGCATCAGCTCGCCCTGCATCTCAGCATTTCTCGGACGAGTGCCCTGTGTCTCGGCCAGGGCCGTCGAGGAGCACTCCTGTGTTCACCTTGCGAGGAGAAAAAAAACGAGACCAGAACATGCACAGGGAATGGACGTCCGAGCGATGGCGAGACATTGGACCGCATGTGATCGTTTTTTGTTAATTGTTTTGCCGATCGGCGCTGGCCCTCGCCCGCCCCCCCATGGAGTGGATCTTGGCTGTTTTTGCTTGCGCCCCTGGGGATGTCCACATACGGCACACACACGGCTTCTACATGAAAGTTTGCACTCGTCGCATTTCGGCCGTGCATGGCAGGGTTGACCACCAAAGTTGCATGAAGTTGCTAAGGCATGCGAAACTCCCACCATGTATCGTTGCCTCGGGAGCGCTGATTCGCTGTTGTACAAGAACCGTGGCTTCGGGAGCCCAGGCCTATGCTTTTTTTTGCGCAATAGATGGTGGACTCCAGAGCACAGGCTGCGTTTGTAAGTAGATCGTCGCCCCAGTGGCCCAGATGCATCGTTCCCAACCGTCTGGTGGTGTTGGGTCTTGGAAGTGCATCCGCGGCGCCACGCTCCCCCTTCTCATCCTCATCCACCTGTTCATCCTCGCCTAGAGCGCAGCCAGCGCCGCGGCGCGACGCGAGCTCTGCGCGGCAGCAGGCTGTCGCCACAAGTCCCGCCTGCAGCGAACTCACGCAGACGCCACCCCCCATGTGGTGTTCCCAGAAGGCTTCCATTCCATTCGCCGCCGTATACCAAGGTAGGAAAAACCACCCGGACCGGACAATTTTCGTTTACTAAACGGCCCTGGGCGTTTACTAAACAGCCTTCTTTGGGTGCGTTTACTAAACGGCTTGTGTGCCGGGGTGGTTATGATCGGGGTGGATTTTCTGCCCTCTAGTATACGGGCTTGGTGGCCAGACCAGGCGGTCCCTGCCGACATCCGCCAGAGGTGGCTTTGCTTCAAAGCCCAGCGCGCGGTCGCTGCCCCAGGCACACGCCGGGCGAAGCTGCGCACCCTCGCTGGCGCCTGGCCAACGTCCTGCCTGCTGCACGTGGGCCAACCCCGCCTCGCGTGCCGCTGGCGCTGCGAGGACGGCACGGACCAGATTTCGCAGTACTTGCTGTACCGTGGTGCGTGGTTGTGCGTGGTGTGTGTGTGTGTGTGTTTGTGTGTTTGTGTGTTTGTGTGTGTGCCCTCGCGCACGGTCGCCCACGCGTGCCCTCGGCACCGATTCGACCTGGACTTTGGACTTGGCGGAGGAGTGCGCCGCAGGTGCGCAGAGCGAAGATGGCTTCCCCAGGGCCGTTGCTCGCATTGCGACCCACACGTGCAACCTCATGCGGCTTCGCCCCAGCCCCGTGCAGCCAGGCCTGGAGGTGGCCCAGGCACTGGCGCGCGCTGCTGCCCACCGCGTGCGAGTACCTCCGCTCTGGTGAGCATGGCAGCCACTATGATCGGTGACCTACGCGACCGACCCGGGGAAACCTGAAGGTCACCAGCAGCCTGGGTGCCATCTTCCCGCAGAAGCCGGCGCCGTTGCAGAGGAGTGGGCCCTGGTGTGACGGGCGGCTCGCCCCGGGACGCGCCCGGGCGCACCAGTTCCTCCAGACCGTTCCAAGCACATCCTCCAGACCGTCCCGAGCACCTCCTCAAAGGTGGCCTCCTCCGGATCGTCCCAAGCACTACCTCCACAGTCGCTGGCGCCGAGGTGCGGGTCGCCCAGCGGCGCGCCTTCAGGCGAGCTGACTCCCTGGAGCCACGGGCGCTCCTCCGCCGCCTTCTCCTTCTCTGTTTTTCCCGCTTCTGCGTTCAGCGTGGCACGTTTCGTGGCCCCATTAGGAACCCCACCGAAGGTTGGAGCGGGACCGACGACATGCGGTCCCCCGACAATGTCGGCACATCACTGACACGCTCCGTGCATAGGTACCCCCACCGAAGCTTTCCGTGGGACCGGCCATACGGAGGACCGTACGGAGCTCCGCCCACGGCCCCACTGGCAGGTTCCGCATGGCGGCGCCGCCCATTTCGGCACACCACTCAGGAGGATCGTGGCTCTTCGAGGAGCTGCACCTACGGCCGCATTGGGAGTGTCCGCAAAGCGAGGCCGCCCGTTTGAACGACTCCCCCCACGCGACGTGCTCCTTAGAGAGCTCCACAGGCGGCCTCAATGAGAGGGTCAGATTGGCGGCGCCGCCGATTTCGACGCACCCTCCACATTGTTCACAGCCGACGTAGGCTCCACCTGCGGCCCCAGTGGTAGAATCGGCATGGCGGTGTCGCCCAATCCGCCCACTTCAGTCCACCCCGCACTTGGATCGCCCCATTCCGGCGCTCCACCCGTGGCTCCAGTGGGAAGGGCCCGCAGGGCGTCGTTGCCCCTTTCGGCACACCTCTGCGCAGCACCGCGCCCCCCGTCAGGAGCTCCACCTACTCCCCCTCAGCGGGAAAGTTTGCACGCTTACGCCCGCCCGTTTCGGCGCACCCCTCACGCGAGCCCCGCCCACGGCCCCAGTGGGACAATGTGCGCGGCTTCCCCGCGCAGTTCGGCTTGCGCCTGACACACGTCGCGCCCCGAAGGGAGCTCAACCGACACTCCCAGCTGGCAGGTTGCATTCGTGTCCCCATGAATTTCGGGACATCCCTCACACTGGCCCGGGCCGTACGGTAGGTTCAGTTCATGCGGCGTTGGCGCGCCGGCGACGCCAGCGAAGGCGTTCGAAGTTGAATTCTGCGACGCGGAAGCACAAATTGACACGGTGATGCCATTGGACCCGACTGATTTCAATTTTGAACGATCGTGGCCGCGGTCGGTTCAAGGTTGAACGATCGACGCGGGGTCAAAAACTTTTGCGCGCGCCGACGCCACACGAACCTACCCCACATAGAGCGGTTCATTAACAACGTTACGCAGCAATGTCGGTTCAGTGTTGAGGGTTTGTTTGGTCCAGTCGCAGCCTCGGCACGCCACGCCAGGCGGGGGGCGTTTACCAGTGCGTGTTGCACTCGACGTTCCCGCCCCCATGGCGAGGAGCTCTCAGCATTCGATTGGCGAGCGCAAGAGCACATCTCAGGACAAGGCCATGACAGGTTTTGTTCTGAGGCTTTGTATGACAGGCCTGGTGAGCGTTCTTGGAATGGTTGTGGCGAATGTCTTCGACAGCATGCGATCAGGAGTTTGGAGTCCAATCACATACATCAAGTTGGTGGCCGTGGTCGCTTTCTTCATGACAGTTATGGTCAGTGAGCGGATATGGGGTCTGACCCGTGTTTTCAAAATGACGGTCGCATTTGCGATGTTTTGCGTTTGCGTGCTCATTGCTGTATTATCGAGACCTCTGGATAATTGGCATCTGTTTATCATCTTGACGTTGGATTTCGCCACCATCATGCAGACTAATGAAGACGAGCTGGCCTTGCAGGGATTGTCCATTGCTGTGTTCTTCGGATATGTGGTGTATGTGTTTCTCCACACGCTGTCTGTGAATGGAACAGGTCCAGAGATTCATCCCATCGAGTTCCACCCCGAATACCACGTTGGGAACCAGCTCTTCTGCAGCATCATTCCCGTTTTGTTGAATTATTTGTTGATCGTGTCCTATGCTCGGGACTTGCGCAGAGAGTCAACTCGAGTCAGAAATTCTGTGGAGCTGGTATCCACGATCGCAGAGGCCCTCAACAATTTTGACATCGAGGCGGCGCAGCGCCTGTTGCCGGATAGCTCCGAGGACGAGGACGGGGTTCCGATATGCAAGCAGCTGGGGCAGCTGATCCGCAATCTACAGGTGATCGTTTTTTTACTCAGTGTTTTGCCGATCGGCTCGGGCCCTCGCACACCCCCCTCCCCCCCCCCTCGTGTACCCCTTGGCTGTTTTTTGGCGCCTGTTTTTCAGGCAGGCTGGAGTCTCCCCCACAGGACGCACTGCCGCAAACAGTCGCACCAAGCAGAGGTCCAGAGCCAGATCCCCTCTTACCCCCCCCTTCCGCCCAATGTCCAAACGCCGAATTGTTTTTCCTAGGACTACCCCTGCAGAAATTTGAGCATTTTGATCCCTTCGAGTTCAGCTCGCGAGCGGTGCGATGGCATGCGGTGCAGGGGATGACGGGCTTGGTCCTTCAGCCATAAAACAAAAAAATGTCGAAAGGCTGAGCAAGAAAGCGCTCACCAGGCGTACCGGCCTTTCTTGCCGAATTATCTCTTCCCGAAGAACACGGGGAGCGACAGCGACCCCACGGGCGGGGCCATCGCGGCGGCGATGTGGGGCAAGCCCACGTTCTGGCACAACGCGGCATCGGCGGCCATGCGGCTGCGAGACCCGGAGTACTCCCTGAGCGAGTTCCACGCGGACGTGGAGGCCGCGTTCCCCGAGTTGCAGCTCTACAACGAGGGGTCGGAGTGCTCCTCTGGGCGTACGTCCTCGGAGGAGTACGAGCGCACGCTGGGCGCGCTGTACTCTGTGTACTGCTTTGCCCGCCTCGACATTGACGGGAAGGAGATCTTCTCTTTCGGCGTCGACCAGCAGGGAAAGCCAGCGGTTAGAGCCGCATGGGAGAGCTCGTTGACAACCCCAGTTGGGATCCCACTGGCAGAGTGCGACCCGACCGACCTGAGACATGTCTTTTATACGTCGATGGACTGGGACCGGATGCTGGAGCTTTTTGTGCGGGCTGGCCTCCTCCGAAAGGCCGCAAGCTCTGATCCAGGGGCACTCGGAACTGAGAGTTGGACCAGTTGGAGCATAAGTCCTCGTCCAAGCAAGCGCTCAAGCAGTAAGACTCCCACAAAGTCTCGCTATTTCGTCGATCACGAGCGCATGACGGCGTTCCTTGCGCTCACAGCGTTCCACGACGTCATGAAAAACTCGATTCTGTTGCCAAAGGTCCACGATGAGCACGCGCCGTACCACGGACTCCTCGGGGGCGATCGGATCTACGACCACGACCTCGCCCTCAGGTACATCATGGAGCACTTCCCCGGCCTGCTGCCCAGTTTCAACGGCCTGGGCCCGGCGCAGCGGGCCGTCGTCTTCTTCACGCAGGCCAAGACGGAGTTCAACAACGGCTGGCTCGTGCAGGGGGAGGCGCCGCCGGGCGCCCTCTTCTCCAAATTCAAGGAGGTCATCACGCTGGGAGGAGCGTCGGACTCCGACATCAGCTTCCACTTCGCTCACTGGCTCACGGACCTGGCGGGGGCCGAGCCCTTCGGCGACAGGCCCTGGCCCGGCTCCGAGAAGTTCGTGCGGAAGTTCCCCCTCAAGGTCCTGAATGCGTTCCTGGATTCCTTCACCTACGTGAACCTCCTCAGCCTCCATTCGGAGGTCTTCAGAGGAGGAGGAGGAGGAGGAGGAGGAGGAGGAGGAGCAGCAGGAGGAGGAGGAGGAGGAGGAGGAGGAGGAGCAGGAGCAGGAGCAGGAACAGGAGCAGGAGCAGGAGCAGGAGCAGGAGGAGGATGAGGAGGAGGAGGAGGAGGAGGAGGAGGAGGAGGCCCTCGTCGCCACGGCTGCACTCGCCTCGCTTTTTCTGGTCGGCACGCCCTTGGCGCAGAGGCCAGTGGAGTAGCGGTTGGGCGTTGCTCAAATGGGGTACTCCAGATTTCGTAATAAAAGGGAGGGGGCCTGGACCCTCCAAGACAAGCCATTTCAGACCCCCCCTCGTGGGAGAACCCTCGAAAACATCGTCCCCAGACCCTCCCAGGCCCTCCAAGATAGCCCGGAAGAGACCCCCCCCCGAAATGAGACCCTCCTCCCTTTATTACGAAATCTGGAGTAGCGATGAGTGGGGAGGTGGGGAAAGGCGCGATTTCTGTGCTCCACAGGAGCCGCAAAGGGGCCCCTTTGGGGCCCAAGAGGAGAACGAGCCGTGCAATGTCCCCCCACCCCCCAGCCTCATTCATCGCCCCCCCTTTAGGCAACACCCGAAGCGGTATGGATACCTCTTGTGGGGAGAGCAAAAGGTACGGATACCGCTACTCCCCGGACCTCCCCTGGGGTACGTGCTGACCCTGATTTCGAGACGAATCCAGCGGTGGTGACGAGAGCCGCCCAGGAGGCCCAAAAAGGGGAACACGAGCGAAGTGTTGAGGTATGGGTACCTTTTCCTCTAATTTTGGCCCCCCCAGGTCCAGGTCATGGAGGACTACCTTCAGGCCCGCTGGCAGACCTTTGGCCTTCCTGCCGCCCCCGAGGACTGCGCCGTGGCCGCGATGCGGCTGGCGCTCATGGCGCAGGGCTTCGAGCGGGCCGCCGTGGCCGCCCTGAAGGCCCTGCCGCCCCAGGTCCGCGGGAGGCGGAGGCGGAGGAGGGGGAGGAGGCGGAGGAGGAGGCGGAGGAGGAGGAAGAGGAGGCGGAGGAGGAGGAGGAGGAGACCAAGGACGAGGAGGAGGAGGAGGCGGAGGAGGAGGAGGCGGCATCTGCACACCACCGTCGTGCCTGGCCAGGGCCATCCTGGTCCCCCGGGGTTCGTGTGCAGGCCCGCCCCCAGACCCCCAGACGTGATCGCGTCGTCCAACACAACTCAGGCCATCTTCGACCCCTGGGTGCCGCCCTTGGGCGCCGTCGCCGGCCCCCCCGGGGAGCTTCAGAAAACGACTAAGGATGGAGCGCGTTTTTGATCGATCTTCGGCAAGTTCGCTTGCATGGGATTTCCACCCCCCTCCCCCCCCTCCCCCCCCCTCTTTCCGCCGCGTTCCCGGCCGAGCCAGCGTGCAAGAGAGTTCGGCGTGCAGGAAGTTCAGATGTCCTGTCTAGGGCCCCAGACACTCAAATCTTCTTATTTTTTGTTTTCCTATTTTATTTTGTAATATTATTATTTTTTTAGTGTTCCATGCCTAAAAAATATTTCTGGTCTCCTAAAATATTATATGAAAAATATTATATTATAATATTAATGTTACTTTCTAAGAAATAAAACTTATCATACCGTTTATACTACTATATACTTACTCATATAATTATATATATATATATGTATATGTGCGAGTATATAATTATTGCAGGAGCGAGAAGGTCCCGACACGCACCTACCGCTGCTAGCGCCCCCCCAACACCCCTGCGCGGTCGCGGCTCGGTCGCAGCTGCGCTGTTCAAGCATGGCGCTTGATTCCCTGGCCGTAGGGGGCACGGCTGCCAGGGATGCAGCCCTGCGCGAGGCGGATCGGACGCTCGACGCGGCCCCTCGCTCGGGACAAACACCGCCGAAACGTCGACGAGAGCGACGACAAGGACGACGACGACCACGACCACGACCACGACCCCGACCACGACCGCGACACTACGACCGACTACCGACGACGAGTACGGCGGCGAGGTCGATGGCGAGGGGGGAGAGGATGTGGAGGATAACGAAAAGTGGAACGGGGAGGACGAGGAGGATGAGGAGGGGACTGTGGAGGATAGGATAGGATGATGATGATGATGAGGAGGAGGAGGAGGAGGAGGAGGTGGAGGAGGAGGAAGAGGAGGAGGAGGAGGAGGGGGAGGGGGGGAGGAGGAGGAGGAGGAGGAGGAGGAGGAGGTGGAGGAGGAGGAGGTTGAGGAGGAGGGGGGACGAGGAGGATGGGGGATGAGGAGGAGGAGGAGGAATGAGAAGAGAGAGAGAGAGAAGGGAGGGCAAGCCAGGTCGAGATCGGGCACAGCAAGTTTTTCGTCCAGCGGGTCGCGAAGAGCAACGGCTTCAACTCGGCGGGCATCGAGTGGGCCGACGGCGACTTCGACGCGATGTTGAGGCGCCGTCGACGACGATGACGACGAAGACGACGACGACGACGACCCCTCTTCAGAGCAGCCCGCTGCTCCCCGCACCCCCCATTCCCGAAGGCTCGTGCTGTCCATCAGGGAGGGCGGGCTCCTCTTCCTGAAGCTCCCCCACGACGAGTGGATGGAGCCGAACGCGCGTTGGCGCGGCTGGCGCAGGTCGCCGCGGGGAAAGCTAGCTAGGGGCCTTCCTCATCTTCCTCATCTGCCTCCTCCTCCTCCTCTTCCTCGTCCCCCCCCCTCATCGTCGTTGTCGTCGTCGTCCTCATCCTCATCCCCCTCCTCCTCCTCCTCCTCCTCCTCCTCCTCCTCCTCCTCCGTCTCCTCCTCCTCCTCCTCCTCCTCCTCCTCCTCTTCCCTCCTCCTCCTTCCTGGGAAGGAGGGGGAGGGAAGAGGGGGGGCTCATCCTAGGGGGGAGCTCCACCTCGCAGTCCTCCTCCTCCATCTTTCCCCACATCCTTTCCACATCCTCTCTTTCAAAAGAAGCAATGTTCAAACATTGCTTCTTTAGAATACAGTGCGAGGAAGTCTCGAGCGTGAGCCGAGGCGTTGTCATCGTCGCAGTTGTCGTCGTCGTCGTCGTCGTTCGTCCCCCCTGGGAGCGGGGCCGCCCCGCCATCCCAGGTCCAAGGAGAACGACCAGCAGTGCGACAAGGCCGACGCCCGCAAGGCGCGTCGGGGGTGGCTGGGGCCGCCACCGCTGGCCGTTCTTCCCTCCCGTCATCCTCCCTTACCTCCTCCTCCTCCTCCTCCTCCTCCTCCTCCTCCTCCATATCGTTCCTCTCGTCGTATCCTTACTCATTTCTCCTCCTGTCACCCTCCTTCGCCTTCCTCGCCCTCCTCATCCACGCACTGGAGAGGGCAAGGATGGGAGGGCTAAATTCCAGAAATATTCCAGAACAAATTCAAGATTCCAGAGAAATTGCAGAATCTCCTCCTCCTCCTCCTCCTCCTCCTCCTCCTCCTCCTCTCCCCCCTCTCCTCCTGCTCCTCCTCATCCTCGTCCTCCTCCTCCTCCTCCTCCTCCTCCTCCTCCTCCTCCTCTTCCTCCTCCTCCTCCTCCTCCCCCGCATCCTCCTCCATCCGTAGCCATTTAGGCTCGAGATGTTTTTGGGCGCCGTCGATTCGCTGCTCGGAGTTGGATTGCGATGGGCGAGAGCAGGAAAAAGCGGGTGCCGTATTGGAAGCCCGACGACGAGGTCGACGGGGCGGAGCGCCTGTGCGCTGCTCTCAAGAGCATGATTGACGTGATGTTCGAGTGGGGCGTCTACCCGTCCGACGATTTCAAGAAGGGCATCGTGTCCGACTACCTCGAGAGGTGCTCGGGTTCCGTGCTCATGTGCATGGACATCGACAAGCGGGGCGGCTACTTCAGCCAACAGGACGTCCAGAGCGCAGTGAAGATGCATCTGATGCGCAACCCCACCGATGCGATCAGGGCGCGGAAGCTGGCCATCAAAATGTCGAAGACCGAACTTGACTTCGAGAAGAAGATCGCGTACTCGTTCCGGACGATTCTATCCCACGCAAGACTGAAGTTCGAGGCGTGGTTGAAGATCGTGGCGAAGCATGGGAGGAGCAGCGACCAGGCGAAGGCGCACCCAACAGGCCTGATGGCGGTGTACAAGCTCCTCGAGGATGGCGCCATTGCTGAGGTGACCACCCCCAAGGCGACCGTGGGCCACAAATCCGACAGCGGATCCACGGCCAGAAAGAATCCGTTCCCGCATCTTCTGGACAACGTGGCCTCCACTCCGCGGCACACTACGCCGTCGGCGTCGTCAGATGATGATGAGAGCAGCAGCATCCAACCGCCTGGGCCTGCCGCTCCCGCCTTGCTGGAGATCGTGGACGTGGCCGCCAGCCCATGTTTCGCCAGCCCAGCTGCCCCGCATCGCGATGTTGATATGATTGCGATTTCGGATGAGTCGCCTCCACGCTCAGAGAAGGAGTGCGAGGAGCTCGGCGAGAAGATGACCTCTCCTGGGGCCTGGCGCGAGGGCACCGACACTGCGGTGAGCATCGACGTGAGGGATAACACCATCGTGAAGATCATGGACGACGGCGCGATGATCCCTGCGAAAAGGCTCGAGAAGGGCAGGGGCGGCTTCATCGTTGCCCACTGGTTCGTCGGCGACCCCGTGGAGACAGAGATCCTGAACAGCAGGCTCAACGGCGGCGTCGTCGACCCCGTCAGGCGAGATTGTATCAATTCTCGCCCCCTCCCCTCACGACGGCAACGAGAACGACGACTACGACGACGACAACGACGATTACTGTGAGAAGTATTCGATCACGACGGCGACGGCAACGACTACGACGACTACGACGGCGCCGACGACGACGACGATGTTTCTGGAATTATTCCAGAATTCTTGAATTATTCTGGACTTGTTCTGGAATTATTTTAGAATTCTTGGATGATTCTGTAATTATGTTTGGAATTAATCCAGAATTATTGAAGGTGTTTGGAATTGTTCTGGAATTGCTTCAAAATTCTTGCATGATTTTGAAATTAACATGGGGTTATTCCAGAATTCTTGAATTACTCTGGAATGGTTCTGGAATTATTTCAGAATTCTTGGATGATTCTGGAATTATTCCGGAATTATTCCAGAATTCTTGAATTATTCTGGAAAAGTTCTGGCAATATTTCAGAATTATTCAATGATTCTGAAATTATTCTGGAATTATTCCAGAATTTTCGAGTAATTCTGGAATTATTCTGGAAATATTTCAGAATTCTTGAATAATTCTGGAATTATTCCAGAATTCTGGAATAATTCTGGAATTATTCCAGAATTCTGGAATTATTCTGGAATTATTCCAGAATTCTGGAATTATTCTGGAATTATTCTGGAATGTGCGTGGTGTTTCTTTCCCTACAGGCCGCTCCCAGAGCAGCGGAAGAGCAAGCGCAAGAAGGCTGCCGAGAACGAGGCCGATGACATACAGGAGGCGCCCGTGCTGAAGAGGCCAGCCGCGCGCAAGCGACCAGCTGCCGCATTGGAGGCAGCGGAGCCCGCTGCAGCGGAGCCGCCAGCCGTTGCAGCAGCGCCTGCTGGCCCCGCAGCTGGAGAGCGGCTGAGGCTGACCATCACGGCTGGCCACAACAACAGCAGCACGCTCGTGATCCAGACAACGAGCGCCGACAAGAAGCAGATCCTGGAGATTGGGCAGTCTGCTTCCAAGAACCCGTTGCAGGTGGCGCAGCGGGTTCGGGACTCGCTACTCATGCACATCAGCGCCGCCGTCCTGGGGCCCACGGGGAAGCTCAAGGACTTGCCCGACGACTACATCCCGAACCTGCGCACCATGGCGCGCGAGCGCAAGGCCGCGGTGCTCGCGGCGGAGGCCTCCGAGTGATAGATGGGAGAATGATTTGAGCACGAGGGCAGCACGGCAATCATCTGTAGGTGGATTGCGCAGGCCCCGCGCTGTTGCCGTTGTCGCAAGCTCGCAGCTGGGGGCGTCGAGCGAACGTTTATCGCAAGGACTCAACGCCGTCCTTCCTGCTGTTCCT